TCCCGTTTCCTCTGGGTATATGATCCCTTTTCAGAGATCGTGGCGCTTAGAGACATGTTCATTGCCTGGGGATCGTGCAGCTCGGGCGGTTGCGGCTCAAGACTGTTGGGACGAACAAGTTATATCTCCCTATCTTGTAAGCATCATGCGTTCGACTTCCACAAACCCCTGAACCACACTCCCCTACAGAGAGATGCTGACCACGTTTCCCCCAGTCATGTACAACCTATCACATCGGTACTGCCGCCACATCTAGATCGGTGCCTGCGCCTAACCCTCGAGATATCTCGATATAGAACTTCATGAAACCTTGTAGATGTACAGGTACCCAGTCCTCGTGGCAGATCGTGACGGTACCTGCGTCTGGCCAACCCTTTGGTTCATCCCATGCGTCCGGGTATGACGCCACCAAGCCCAGAACAACTCTCGAAGCCTGACGCCGTCGTCGTGCAGGCTGCGTTTGGATTGGCTATCTATCTCCGCGAAACGCTGACTGTCCATGCTTATCCTCACTACACCCATGATCATGAGCGAGAACAGACGCTTACCATCTATCACTGTTCGGCACCGAGTCCTTCTGCTCACACATACGACCTCGCTTATTTACACCTGATGAAAAAACTGCCGAGCTGTAATTAATTACAGGTGTATGCAGTTAGCCGCTCGGCCTCACTTCACCTTGATGATGTTTGAGATGGTGATATCGGCTGTAAGAGACTATCCGGACAAGACCCCAACAACAACAACATCATCGTGGCGGTGTAAGAGTCCGAGTTTCCTCGGATTCATTCCGTCTCAAAGATGATTTCTTCAACAAGCCTTGAGCATTTCATGGGGAGAACACGCTAAAAGAAGTACTCCTATAGCAAAAAAAAACAAAAACAAAAGACGCACTGTGGAAGCTATTACACTGGAGGATGAGAAATTGTGATGTTTGGGGGAAGAGGGATGATCTGGACCAAAGGTCAATGTAGCATGGATTTTGAACAGAAAACGTATCACCAAATAATGCCTGACGACCTAGGAAATGAAGGATAATAGATAGATTCAACTCGGTGACGGAGTTATCTCTCTCAAATGGAAAATTACCACAGTGAAGGTTCCATAGCTAGTGCTTTTGGGTCCTGACCATGATATATATATAAATAAAAATAAGAGAACATTCCAACCATCTCAGAACCGAACTCGAAGATTTTTTTTTATTAAAAAAATTCTCACGCAATGTGAACAGTAAAAAAAAAAAAAAAAAAAAAAAAAAGGGATATTAGATTAGATAACACGTTCAAACTCTCTAACACTTAAAGTGTACGTACGTCCTTTTTTTCGTCCCTCGTTGACTCACTGTTTAAGAGAATTATTTCAAGTCTCAGCAATTGTGAAGCAAGTCTTCGGCTGGGAGAGGAAAGTGTTTGGATGGAGATGGGCATCTTAAAACCCGCTCACACGTTGGACAAAGTGCTCAAATAAAAAGAAAGGACAAATGGATAATTCATAACCGTTCATTTTTGTAGGATTACTTACAAGCATTATTCGCGAGGCCGCGAACCTCAACAAGCAAATGCCATACAAAGAGAGATGATCACAAAGCCAGACCCGGAGTCATAAACTTTTACTCTTCACCTCCCCCCATGTGCATCTTTCTCATTAACGATACACTACTCGTTTATTGTATATAATCCCTATCTGACCAGCCATTGATTCCTCCGTTCCCGCTTCAACTTTTTTTTTCCACTCCAAACCCTCAACACCTAACCTCCACACCCCCCTTACTAACGGTCAAATACTTGACACCCTTATAAGGTTTCACATTATCGCCCAAACCCCTACTCTTCCTCGGATCAATAATAATACTCTCAACCTTCAACCCGCTCGGCAGCCAACCCTTTACAGTGAAACTGACAGACGCCGAACTGGGCATCAAGATCTTATTCTGTGCGGTTTTTCGCTCGGCCTTCTCCTCTTCCCCTTCAATCGGCTTTTCTGCCTTGGTAGTTACTGCAGCAGAAGCCTGGTACGGCTGTCCATCATCGTAGCTGTAATCTCTTCCACCGGAAGCGTTGAACCCGAACCCAGTCGGATCATCATCGTTCTCGTCGCTGCTAAGTTGCCCAACTACCGTGCATCGTAAGGCATAAGACGAGATACCCTGAGCCAGTTCTTTGTTGGAAATGGTCCACTCCAGAACTCGATCTCCAGGATTATACGTAGCATCTCCTTTGCTGGGTCTGATCTCGGGCAAGTTGCGCACATCAGCTGGTAAAGGAATAGTAACAGCAACATCATGAATAGATGGCGACGCTGGAGTGCCGGGCTGTGGTAACTGGCCGAAACCTCGAGCTCCTGCACCTCCTCCCCTGTTTGCTGATTGTGAACCCAGTCCAACTTTGTGTAGTTGCAGTCGAACCTCGAAGTCTGATCCTGCGGTGCCCAGTCCGGTTTTGATCTCCAGAGTGACTGGCAGTTTGAGGTTGGCATTATTTGAGGGCTTGCCGTCGGTGAATGGGAGCAGGTCCACTTCGTACCCTGCTAAAGTGAACCGTCCGTCTGGAGGAATGAAGCTCAGGAGTCCTGGTTGTTCTTGCCATTTTGCGAGACGCACGCAAGGGTGGAACACTGGGAGGTCGATGATGCTTTTGAGATTGTGTTTACCCGATGGACCTGTAAGGGTGACGAGAACATCTGGGACGCCGGAGGCTTTGCAAGTGAAGGCGATGGTGCCGTTGGCAAAGGCCGCGAGTGGTCGGCCTGATGGCGCAAGAGTGACCGAAAGTGTCTCGATCACGTCGGCATAGAGCTCGTTGGAAGTGTGTCTGACATTTGCTCGTCGCCAGGGAAGGGCTGGTGTATTCTGGTGAATGAGAGAAGGGGTGCTTGAAGAGCCGAAGCTGGTACCGAAGGGTGCTTTGCTTGGTAGGTTCAGATTTCCCAGCAGCTTGTCCATGAACCCTTCCACCTCGACCATGTCCCGCAGCGCATTGGGTTCCGTTGTATTTAGGGTGCCGGCATCGCACATTTCCGTCAGGAGTTGGGCGACGACATCGTAGTTGCTCTCGATCTTGTGTGCTAACAGGGGCGCACCCAGGAACTCTTCAAAGGAATCGACGATTCGGTGGAGGAACTCGAGAACAAGAAGTGGCTCAACCTCAGATGAGGTGGTCACGAGAAAGAGGAGGTTGGCATGGCTAAGACTGAAGACGAGCGTTGGTGGATTGGTGTTTGGTAGGTATATGAGGTTTGGGCGCGGGGCGGGGTGTTCGAGGTAGAGGGGGAGCAAATACGTCGCCGACAGCGGCCTCGATGTATACGTATGCGAGAGAACTAGAGTGCTAGATGTATGTTAGACGCCTGTTTTGAAGATGTCGCTCAATCATCTTACTTGTGCTCGTCAAAGATATGCAGCGCCTCAATCGCCCCGTTCATGGTTTCTGATTTATATCGTTGATGGATTTGGGTCAACTCTTAGGCGGTTGTTGGACTTGCAGCTGCCGCTGAGAGCACTGACGCAATGACGGGAGCATCCAGCCCACATTGCTTGGCATGCCAAGGAAGTTTTAGCGGTGGATCCTTGCAATTGAATGTGCCCAATTCCCTGCCAATTGAAAGTCTCCATCTCGCATCTCTCATACACACTCACCACTTTCACCACTCTCCAACAACCAAACTCACACCAATTTTCACCATGGCCAAGAATAAGGACATTCCAGCTCTCTCGTCTCTGGACAAGCCGGAGAAGCTCGACGACCTCTTGAGACAGGATCGAGGAGATGACTGCATGTCCTGCAGAATCGTTGGTATGTTAACATCTGTTCTCCCCCTGCGTATCACATCTGAACCGTCACTAAACATGTCCCCTCGCTAGGCGGTGGTGCCTTTCTCGGTCTCGCAGCATACAGCTACATCACGGGCCAACAACAATTAGAGCTGCAAAGAGCAAAAATCTTGGCCAGCAAGTCCCCATTTGGCATGCGAAGCAGGAGTATGGGCATCACTGGCATCTCTCTAGGTCTCGCCTGGCTCGGCTTCTGGAGACTCTTCAAGTAATTAGTCTACAACAAAAAGCTCTGAAACAAGTTCAAGCAAGTCAAAGGCCCTAGCCCAATTCTCCCTGGTTCACCTGTACGCCCGTATTTCGAACATTTCCCAAACATGATATATGCCTTTTCCGAAAGTACAGTAGCGTAGCTAATGTGCTTCTTGAGCTAGGCCTCCGTTCCAAGGAAATAAACTCCATTGATTCACCAACTCAAGTGAGCAAAGAACCTCTTTGCATAAAAAAGCGAAATTCCATTTCACCTGCAATCTCTCGGTCTCTGCTCCCTTCTCGCCTGGAATTTCACTCTCCTTCTAACTTTCCTCATCTCCCAAGGCCTCTACGTACGGCCATGTCGTGGTTGATTCGGTCGTTAAGCCTTCATGATGTATGGGGGGAACCGAAGGCTGGCTGGCAATACTGTTGCATTGGTAGTCTTTGATGTGCAAGAGAAAGAAGTGGGCTGGCTTCATAGACCTAGGAAAAGGTGGGCTTTAGTGCACCGGTCACCTGCTGTAACATGATGTCGCTGTCAGTTTTTGCGACCGGCTCGACCGGTCAGAGTTGTCAAGAGCGGAGGTGGTGGGTGGTGCAAAGACCAGTGTGCTTGATGATACGCTGCACTTAGAAGATCGGATGAGCCTCTGTACATGCTGAATCTTAGTTTCACTGGAGCTTGTGCAAGCAATTCGTCAAAGTAACTGGGTGCTGTAGATGATCTTGAGATTTGCTATTAAAGCTTAAAAATGTTGAGGTATAATAATTCTCGACCTGGAAAGAATATCTTGCGCCAGCCCCTGAAGGGATTCCTGCGGATTCCGATATTGTTGAGACCCGGGCGCACCCATTTTTAGACCCTCCCCCTTGAACAGGTTCCTCGTAATCTTGATCATGCGAAGAATGCTGTCCTATCTTTTCAAGAGGTATAGAGATTAGATGATATTCTACGCGAAGACGGGAAGTGCAAAAATGATCGCGGCAGGGATCGAACCTGCGATCCTCTGCGGGATACTTGGACACTCTGAGTGTTTTATTGTAAAGCAGATGCCTTAATCACTGGGCTACGCAACCATTCACTCACCTATCTAAAGTATAGCGGTCAAGAATGCGAGTAGGCGAGTGCATCAGTCGTCTCCGGCCAATAACGACATCTCCTCCTCATACAGCAGAGCAGTTTACTCTTTCAGTGATAAGATATCCATTATAAGGCGGTCTGGAATTTCAAAGAACCACAGAAGTTTGTCTTGTTCCAATCAGCGGCATGGGATTCAGGTATGACCTGCTTCTAAACATACTTATGTAGTAAACTTGCAGCCCCTGGCCACAGCAAAGTCCACTGGCAACCTGAGCTCTAGTAGTTCAAACTGCACTTGGTCAAACCCTCAAACCCACGCTCCTCAACACCTCGGGCCGAAATTTTATTTGGGATCCCATTGCAAGCTCCAGAATCCCGAGCGGCCAGTCCCATGCTGGACTCAACAGTCCCGCAACACGTTTGCGAGGCAGAAAACTGATTGTGGTGCCAGTCGAGCGAGTGAGCGGCCTCGTGCACCCAGAGCGTCTGGGCGTTACCCGTGTGTGACGCGTCTTCGAAGATGACCGTGTCTCCGAGGTCTCCTGAGAATGTGTACGCGTGGGGTGCCTCCGGTGATGGGGAGGAGGATTGCGTGCCGAATGTAATTCCTCGTTCCGCCCAGCAACAACCGAAGCGCTCGAATATCTAGGCCCTGGCGGTGGGGATTTGTTGTTGCGGCAGAGGATACAGGGGGTTGTAGGTCACGTTGGTATTAGTAGACTTCCATGTCGTAGGCAACATACTAGTTCAAGTTTTCTGCTCCGCGATTTGTTTACACCGGAGCGGGATCGGGGCCAGGACCACTTGGTGGGTGTGTAGAATGGGGGTTTGAGGTATTGTTGGAGGGGTTGGTTTGGCCGAGGTCGTTGAAGGCAGGGTTAATCAGGGATTTGTTGAGTGTTTGGGCGGTGCTGACCTTGCCCGCGAGGGCAAAGGCGAGAGCTGTAATAATTTTGGTCGGCGCTCTTACCTAGTCAAGCTGCCGAAATCTTTGTAAGGATACTAGTGATTACAACAGCTGGTGCAGACTGCAGAGATGACCAGAGATGGAATTCGTCCCTAAACGGGAAACCGCTGGTCATGAGAGAAAGAGATGGTGAGTTTTATTCTCAAGTACGCCGTTCGTTGATCTCTTACATACTTGAATTCGTTTTCCCCTTGGTTTTCCAAACATGAAATAGACGTAATATTCAAGTTAAAGCTTGAGAATATTGACAAGGTCAAACAAATTCATGTAGAGGTCTTTCTTCGCAGTCACACTCTTATAATTCATTTACTGTCGATACCGAAGCCCTCACAATCATAATGATCGAACTGCTAAGATCTATCTCAATTCTTTTTTAGACTCTTTTTTCGGCTTCAAAGTTGCAATGTGAAGGTAGGATAAGCAAGAGATCCTGAATATTAACCCGGCGAAGAACGGAGCAACCTCGAACCAATCCATTTATTAACCTCGCCTACAATAATCAACATCAAATACCACAAGCCAGAGATACGAAGCAACCAAAACACAAATGTTTCACCATAATCCTGTAATAAAAATAGATAAACAGAACTGTTTGAGTGAGAGTCCAAAGATCCACCTCTACAGTAAATGTCGATATAGAATTTGTAGTGGACCCAACAAAATAAATAGAGCAAAAAAACATACAACACCAGGGATTCCTCAGTGGTCACCCACCTGGGTACTAGTCTGGCCCTCACAAGCTTATCTAGGGCAGAGCGGACGGGATGCCGAGTTTTCTTGAAGGTATGGTCGTATGTGATTGTGCTAAGGGGAAGTTTGGGTTATATTTCGGCATGGTATAAAAAAAATCTTACTTTTCAAACCCTCTGCTCTAATTCCCGCTCACCTCTGTTGTTTTCGAGACCACAAACTCGTCTTTAATTGAAAACTTATTAAATATCAGACTTAGATTGTCGTTCTCTTTCGTAAAAGGTTGATAACCCGCAAGTTAAGCCAAGGTTTTTGTCACCCAAATACCGGTCTATGAGCCCTTGTTTGCAGTTTCATCCCGGTCTTTTAAAGCTTATTACTGCGAGAACAGATAAAATGTTAAGAGTTTTCAATCAAATCATAACAAATTACCACAATTGTGATAGGTACGGGGCCGATATGAGGCTGTCACTGGATACAAGTAAATATGATTTTGTCAACGAGCGCAAGTTGTGAATGCGAAAACAAAACAAAAGCAACAGCTCACTGTTGATTCCAAGCTCTTCATGCTGATCATATACTTTCAAGTCCAAGTTTGAAAGTTGGATACGAGTAGAGTCTCTCGGTTCCAAGAAAAAAAAAAAAACCTCAAGCCCACCCACACAAACCACGCAGATTTAATCAACTTTGATCACCCTCTCCGGTCTTCCAATTCCGGGTCAAGTTCACAAAAACATGCTCGCCCATACACAGTATGGGTTCGTTGTCTCTCGTCAATGCCTCCCGAGTTCCGAAGAGTAGCACCAAAGCAACTCAACAGGACGGGATGGCAATCAGCCAAAGATCTACCTGTAATCGCGTTGCTCTTGGTGTGATGTGCAAGCACCCTTCCAGGTAACACGACATCATCACTCTAATTACCTCATTATACTGCTCATACCCGACCTCGACTACCGGTTTCACTACCCATTGGTGGCTCATCTCTGGTTCTCTCGGTGGCGGGATGATGTGGTGCCACATCCAGAATGGGTCCAGTGGCGCATGATGTGTTGTTGTTCCCATTTCGGATCCCTTCATGCATCTGTTCCGAATTCATATAACATTACCCCTGCCACCTCATAAAGATCGACGGGCAATGAGCAACAGATATGCGCGCGCGTGTATTAACAATTCCCTCTTGCATTCAAATGACCATTCCCGTTTCGTCTCATTCCACACCCATAACAAACACAACGGTAGGTAGCTCCGCGCCGGCAATGACCAGCCGAAAGAGTGAGTTGGAGAAAGCGTGAATAAAAAACCTCCGGTACAAGGCTTTAGCCGAGGAGTCAAAAGTGCTTGTATTGGCGCGGGAGATGTTAGTTGTCTGTCACAATGTCTGCCCTTGTTCCCGTGGCTCTGGACCGCTCCCGGCTAATAATCTGCGGCTTAATGGACGGGCACTATAACGGCAACCAGCAAATGATGGAGCTCTGTTTCAGACCATTGGCGTACTTTAGCCATCAAAGGCAGCTTGGTAAATCCAACGCCTGGAAACGACACGACATATGGATACCGCAACCTTGGGGGAATGTGGGCAAGGAGGAGAAACGTAACCACACCTTCTTCCCCAGATTGTGGAGACCCCGCATTCTTGAGTGATGAAACCAAGTCCCGAATCTGTGGTGTGAGGGGATCTTGCATACAATATTGTTAAACATATTTGTTAGTTCCAGATATTTGACGGCACTTCTGAGGGAACAAGACAAACCCAATCACGGATGTTGCCACCTCGGACCCTTCCAGGGTCATGCCTCTTCATTTCTTTGCCATTGATCATCTGAGCAGGGACTCGATGGCACCATGCCTCGATACCATATTCATCCAACCGCGAACAATCTGGCGAGCTTGCTCTGCTCCGTCCTCCGCATATTGGCGGCTCGGAGCCCCCCAGGTCCCCCACTGTCTTATGGGAAGGATCGTCAGCTTTTCTCCACAAGCTGGCGGTAGTGGCTGCAAGGGGAGCATATGGAATAACACCCCAGATTGCCCAAAGAGGGTCTCCTAGACGTGCCCTTTCCCCACATTCTGCTCGCAAATCGCAATCGCAGCCGCTTGTCTAGCCGTTCCACCAATCCACAGTCGGCCCGGCGGTCGTCGCCTGAGCGTAAATGAAGTCGTATATGAAATGCCAGATTCGAATCTAGGCGCCTGTCCACTCGACTTTCTCGGCACTCAACAGGAGCCCCGCACCCTATATCCCAACGGCCACTACTCGGCGCGGCTCAAGCCTTTCTTCGGAGGTTCCTGGCCGAGCCACTGGTCAGTGGCGGCCCTGTGTTCCTGATTGCAGGGCCTCTCGATCCGTGTCAAGGCGTGTGACGGTTCGAGAGGATGGTCATGGCGACTCTGTCTCCGGGTTGACTCTCGATGGGACTCAGGTTGGGGGGGGGGGGGGGGCGCCACCACAATATGGCCAAGAGAAGGTTCTGCCTGGTATAAAGACGAGCCACCCACCCCCCGAATGTCGAAAGAAAAGAATCTTGTCCTCAGGCCCTATACTTCAGCTGCAAGTGTGCTCCTCAGTGCCCAATATGAAGTTCTCCAAGTCCGCTACCCTGGCGTTCGCCGCCACTGCCGTTGCCGCTCCCTCGGCAACCACCAAGGAGCAGCCCTCCAAGAGACAGGCTGGTTGCTCTTCGGCCGTCACCCTCGACGCCAGCACCAACGTCTGGAAGAAGTATAACCTCCACGCCAACAACTTCTACCGCGCCGAGGTCGAGGCCGCCGTCAGTCAGCTCTCCGACTCAAGCCTCGCCGACAAGGCCGCCAAGGTCGCCAATGTTGGTTCTTTCCTCTGGCTCGATACCATCGAGAACATTGGCAAGTTCGAGCCCGCCGTTGCCGATGTTCCCTGCAACGAGATCCTCGGTCTGGTCATCTACGATCTCCCCGGCCGTGACTGCGCCGCCAAGGCCTCCAACGGTGAGCTGAAGGTTGGTGAGATCAGCCGCTACAAGAAGGAATATATCGATGGTGAGTGAAACAACATGCAGTCCTGAGTATCTTGAAAAACATACTGACAATAAACGCAGTGATTGCCGGCCTCCTCAAGAAGCACAGCAACACCGCCTTCGCTCTCCTCATCGAGCCTGATTCGCTTCCCAACCTTGTCACCAACGCCGACGTGCAGGCCTGCAAGGACTCCGCGTCCGGGTACCGTGAGGGTGTGGCTTATGCCCTCAAGACCCTCAACCTTCCCAACGTCGTCCAGTACATCGATGCTGGCCACGGCGGTTGGCTCGGCTGGGACGCCAACCTCAAGCCCGGTGCTGAGGAGCTCGCCAAGGCCTACAAGGC